CCAGCTCGGCCACCATCATCATAACCAGCTACGTCGTGCTCCTGCTCCATCTCTCCTGCCTCTATCTCTTCATCGTCTACTTCGTTAACAATTTCCCGATTACGTTCCTCCTGGTTACTGCCATTTAAATCCCTGCCATCGGCATCAGGCGTTTCACTAACGAACATTCCACGTAAAGCGTTTAGTACTTCTTCAATACTTGCATTCAAGTGTTGAGCCTAAAAAGACAAACCTTTTTTATGAGGTTGAAAATGGTAAATTTTCACAAACGTACATATGTATTTCCTCATATCAATCATAATTATAGTAATTCCTCCTAACCACATCTTCATTTACAATTAAGTAATTGATTATTACAGCTACTATTGACAGTGAGGCAAAACAGTGCATCACTGGAACCGCACAGATTCAGTTCTTACAAATGTTCATTTCGCGACGTGTTGTTGGTAAGGTTATTGTTTCTACTTTTTATTTTTTTGAAATAATTTGATCGTATTTCTTATCCAGTGATTTCATGTTTACTCTCTTTGCTCTGAATAGAGAAAGCTCGAAAACATAACTCCCTGCCTACGAATTATCATCAGTCGTCATAATAATATTGTGATAAAAGCTAATAAAACACCTGCCTACGAATTATCATCAATCGTCATAATAATATTATGATAAAAGCTAATAAAACAATCTATTTAATCTGCTGGCTAAACATACCGCAAATATTATGGGTTCTATTTCATGCTGCATATTAACACTATCATCTCGATCTTTAAATCGTCACTATTGTTTAGTCTTCAAAAATTTATCAGTGTCCCATAGTAAACTCTTTCGCTCAGTATTTGCTTCGTATACAAAAGATGAATCCTATTAATAAAACAATCTGTTATGCACTGCTTAGCATTCCAGATTTTGTTTGTTAAGATTCCAATTTTCTTCTCTATATACAGTTTCATTTTTCGCCAATAAAAATAAAAAAGCTTTCCAAACATGTAAATGTTTGAAAGACCTTCTTCAAAAATTCAAGAGCTGAAAAAACACGAACAAGCATATAGAAAATATATGAAGCCCTTTAAATTTACATTACGCTACGAAAAAAATAATTCTGTCACTCATAAATGTCTCTACGCTGCACTTTGAAATATGTATACTGCAAGAAAATAATTTAGAATCGGAAAATCAAAGAAAGTTGGCTCAGGTCCAGTCTGGGCAGGGCTATGTTAAGTTTAGTATAAATAATGCCAATCAAAAGCCGAATTCAACAGAGTTTAACACGACAAGTAAGCCTTCTTCCCTTTTTTGTCTCTCTAGAGCAATATTTGAATGTCATAAAAAAGCACGATCACAGGATTTTGTACTGAAAGAAATGGTAACGGATGATAATGCAGATTACAGTCGGATTTCATAAGAAAATCAAGAATTTTTCCTTTTCACTCTATATCTCAGAAAAGTTATCCCAACCCCTACAAATAATATTTATAGAAGTCATGAAAACAAGTCAGAGCGCATAGGTTCGTTGTTTAAGATGCCTGCTAATAACAACTCTGCATTTTCAACTCTTTTTCAAGATTCTCAATGAATAAAAGAGCAAAGACAGTCCAAAGTTTCTGGTTATTTAAATTGTGAAGGAAAATTATAATCTCTATTTAATTAAGATGAAACACTGAAACATAAAATTTTGTTGGGCTTTAAATTTAAGTCAATCTTAGGAAGTAGTAGTTTCTTAGCTGGAATTTTTCTTTATATTGCAAGTCATAGATATTTCGGCCTTCTTGTTCTCTAACAGGATTTCTAAAATTTAGATAGGCGTTTTTTTTTCTTATGAAAATGAATTTAACAAAATAAAGAAACATTTTGGCAATGAGATCCTAACATCATAAGAAATCAATTTCTTGCTTATTTTTCAAGATGAAAAAAAGGAGCCAGACGATATGGATGATGACGCTATGATTTTCAACGATTCACAAGGCGTTACATTATCAAAGTATGTTTCGTTTCTACACTATATTATTAGTAATATTTATAATATTCAACGTCATTTATGACATCCAAATCTTGCAAAAAATATGCGATTAGGATCAAAAGCTACTATACATAGCCCTCCACACTGTATAGGAGAACAAATCCACGGAAATCAGAAAATTTTGAAACTAAGGAAATATATCGAATATTTTCTGGAAGTAGAACTAATTGAAAAACTATTGTGTTATTGGCCCAACACACCAATAGATCTTACATCATGCAATGAGGCATGTCTTTATGGTGTGATTTTCTACTAAATGAAAAAGGAACAGATCTAAAAGACTTCGAAATAAATGCATCGAAATTAAGGTCTTAAGCACTATTTTTTCGCTTTCAAATATTTGGTTTTCCATTTTTCACCTTTTTTACTTAATCCAGAAAGTCACTTAATTCAATTTAATAGATCTTACTATTGTTGCTACTGCATTTTCTGAAAAATATTTCAAACTAAGTCTACTAACTAGCATCCTATGCTCACTGCTAAAATCGGTACCACTAATTACTTGTAGGCAAATTATTAATAAAAACAACTTGCTACAGGCTTAAAATTGTTTTTGGTTTCAGATTTGCTCTCGGCGTTTCTGTGATACTTTATTTATGTGCAATGTCATCACTACTATTTCTATATGAGCTAATCAAACCGACATTTACCTGATCATAATTGGGCCAAACGGAATGTAGCAATCCTGAGAGAAAGGAATCGGGCCGTGGTGTACTTGGCGCTCTCGTATACATCATTCGTCCATTATAGGGAGGCGCAGGATCTGATAGAACCCACTCCGCATTTCTCGTTACTTCCCATAAGTATGCATGTCGTTCGATGTTCCGCGGTACTCCAACGTAACACGTTTTCCTCCTAAAATAAGTTTTTTAAATTTTCAGTTATGTTGAAAATTTCGTGCTCTCCAGTTATTTCATTCCTTTTATTTGCTATTATTACTAGTGTAAAAATTACACATAATGCATAGTTCCAAATTTAGAATTCTGATTGCTGTCTCGTTATCAAAACCAGTTATCAAGCATCACTTCTGCACCTGTTTACAAGTGCCTCTTTTGCTTTATCCTATTATTCTCACAATAAATAGAAAGTTTTTAGACTAGTTATTCCAATAACAATACATTCTACTACAAGCGTGATAAGAATGAGATCTATTTTTTATAAAATTTTTTTAGAATTCAAACCTAAAGAATTTGAAATCCATCCCACCTAACTGAAATTTCCCCATAAAATTTTTTTTTTACATGGTCATGTATAACCAAAAGCATTATCGTTTTGTATATATTCATATAAATATTTTTTCTAGCATTTTCTAAACTTTTATGTGCAGAATTGTTGATTCCTATAAGAACAATATCATGGCAATAAAAAGTTTTTCTACATAGAAAAGGATATAAATTTGAAACTAACATCGATAGTTGCTCTAAATTACCAACCTCACTTAATTAGAGTTTAAAAAAATGCACTATAAAGTGATTTTTTAATTCGTTTCAAAATTCCACAAAATCTACCTTATTATAGTACCAGATAATAGAACACAGCACATTATGCGCTGTGTCAGCATTATGCATTGTTGTTAACAGCTCTGATCATCTGAAATTAGATGATCAGAGCTATTAACAGCTTAACTAACGAATGTAATAATGGAATAGGGGTTATCATTACTATCTCATTCAAAAGTTGATGGACTAAGAAGTCTAAAAGATTTGTTCTGCTTTTTCTACTTAATTTTATAAAGCAAAACACCATGGTTTTTTTCCCGTATTTCGGACCAGACCTTTGTCTTAACTGAATGAATTCTAATTTTAAGAGATAAAACCCAAGAATCCTAAAATACTATAAAAAATTTACATTCTCTCCCAGCTAGCAATCTCTTCCTTAGAATGTTTGAATGATGATACAGCAGCTCTTGTGGCCTTTTCGAGCCACGAAAGAATCGACGGGTTCTCTAACCAAACCGACGGCGCCAGCTTTACATATATTGATGTAAGTAGCTTTATTCCCTCACTTTCTCTAAAAAAAAAGTTTTTAAGAACTCAAACTAAAATCATTTTTAACAAATGCCTGCGCTATCCACAAAAGAGACACTTTTCGTCTTACTTGAAAGTGCCGATGCAAAAATACAAGAGCAGTTGTTTTCAATGCGCATTTTAAATTCCTAAAGATTTATTGCTATAGACCTTCCCTACTACCTCTTGACTTTGGCATCTACTAAAAATAGAGATTAAAATCAAACAAAGACTAAATATTTACTAATTATTTACTTTAAGAAAAAATTCAACTTGCAAAATTTCTACTCAAAATTGAAAACTAACCTTTCATAAGCTAATGCACTCATATATTTATTATTTTCTACTGTTGAATCAGGTTGTACATTCATTGCATCTAAAAGTTTTAGTAGCACCGTTGGGAAATGCCGAATTGCCGAACCAAGCTAAAATTTATTAAATATAAACAAAGACTTATTGCTCTTGGAAGTTCAGCTCGGATTTTGAAAGAAGATATTAAAGTAAAAACTGCTGAACCATTTCTTTGACTGCTAATGCAGCGATTCTTGAACTGTGAATTCAAATCAGGAGTAAAAATAGCAAAATCATACCATAAAATCAGCCATCTCTTTCTGTTCAGCATTTCCATTTTCGCAAAAAAGAAAAAAATGGGCAAGAGCGACGGAGTATGCAAAATTTGGAAGTCTATCCAAATTTTTTGAGCTCTGAAAGTTAAAGTATATTTTCCGTCTTTTAAAACGTTTGATGGCTGATAAAACGGATTTTTTTTGCTCTACGATCACATTAGATAAAAAATCTATGCCATACAATGTATGCCAAATACTAAAGTATACAGCTGGACCCAGTGCCCTACAGTCTAGAATTTTTTATCAAATAGCACTCGATACTGATAACTATCACAGAAATTTCATTCATTACCTTCAATGCATCATATAGATGAATTAGATAATTGTACTCTCGCGCTTTCAAAGCAATCATGTCGATGGTAAGCATTATGGCAAGTGGATCCGCTACAGGATCTAGACGATATATAAGTCTGGCAACATGAAAGGCCGTTTTGAAACAATGACGATCTACAAGATTTCGCAAATGTCGGTGCAGCAACAAGTAAAACGCTCGATTTTCAAAATGAACATAGTCGATACGATGATCGAAGTTGCTCAATTGAAATCGTGGAGCAAATACACTTTCACAGCAAAAAAGTCCACGTTCTACAAATTTCATATTTAGTATGAATAAATTTTAAAGCATTATATAAAGTAAAAATTTTTGTTTGTAGTATTTCTAGTGATAAGTCTGA